TGTGAATTGGACTGTGGTATTCTGATGTGCCTCTCATGTTTTTGTATGCAGTCCTAGATGAGTGTGGTTTTGAGAGAGGTTCGTAATCCATATAACCTTAGCTTTGGACAGTTCCGTTGTTGAACATCAAAATCATTTGTCATTTCCTTGATTCTGCGACAAGTTGACCAAGTTGATACCAATTTAAGTTAATGTTAATGTACATGAAGTACATTTTTTTGCTCAGTCATTTATAATTAAAGGGCTGCTGTAATGTTTCATTTATGTTGTATTGACACAGAAGTGTATTACTTTGTAAATGTTTTGTAATAAAATAATCAATTGGAATAAGTGAAATGGCTATGTGTGATTTTTTTATTTATTTTTTTAGAAAAGTTACTGTAGAAACCTAAACTAATTGGCATGGATAATTGTGAGTAGGATATATGTAAAAACTAATGTAATTTCTCAACTTAATATTACCAGAAATTTGAAATTAATATTAGGTCGCATAAACGTAATTATGCTTTTGGAGGTCAAAGTAAATCATGTTGGTGTGTTAAACCGGTTGAGTTAGCCAAACCTAAAAATTACTTGCTGGATTTACTTAATAATATGCAAAATTTGTAACTTAAAAAGCTGAGTGGAAATTGTTGCCTCAATTTTTTAAGTTGAGCCAACAAAATATTTTTTAGATAGTGGTTGCTACGTTGTTTCTGACAGTCTGACACTTGCCCTCCTTCTCCTCCTCCTTGCTGCACACACAGGAGTCGGGGGATGTTCTCCCAGTCTTTGTAGCTGAACAGACCACAGCAGTGAAACTACAAACAGCAGCAGGAGAAGAAAGAAAGTGGGTTTTTTGTTTTCTTTTTTAAAAATAAGGTTTTTATTGAAAGTTGAATACTTTTTCTTTTTTTGTTAAATTCATTTTCAACTCAAAGCATGTGTTCATGGATTAATAATACATTTTGAAATATCGATTTATAAATACAGTTTTCATTATCAATTAAATGAATAATGAATTACATATGAAATTATTTCTCAATGTGTTGTGTCACATTTCAAATTCAAAATTTAAAAAATTATTTTCAAAATCTTTTTAAAATAGAAAAAAGAAAAATAAGTAAATGGATTCAAACAATAAAGATTTATTTCCAACATTTAAAATGCACGTGGCTCTTTTTGTCCCCCATATGACCTAACAATTTTATCAAGAGGAAGAATCACAAGAGGACAGCTACAGCTGCAGGAGTCACGGCTCACTGAACCTAACAAGCGTTGCTAGTGGGTTGTATCCTTAGAGGATTATGGGATTGTACTCATTTAGATCTTTGTTTGGTCTGGAAAAATAATTTGATACTATACATCTTATTATTTGTCACTGTTTGAGGAAAAAAGGAAGAACCCCACTAACCCCTTCTAACCCCTTCTATAAATCTTTCTACATTACCTTCGCTGATTTCTTCCTTTAAACCATCAATGTGCCTTTTAGACCACATTCCTACAGGACTGTTCAAAGAAATTTTGCCACAAGACTTCAATTTAAAATCTGATTAATCTCTCTTTAGGAACAGGCTACGCATCACAAGCTTTAAAGTGGCCGTAATTAAATCATCAATTGACCTAGTTATCTTAGCTAATTATAGACCAATTTCTAAGTTTACTTTTACCTACAGAGTTCCTCGCACCACAGAAACATTATTAGTGAAGGTTATTATTAATGTTCTTATGGCCTCTTACGGTAGGCTCATCAACTCAGTATTGGAGTTCCACAGGGTTCGGTGGTAGGATCAATACATTTTATAGCATACGTGCATCCCTTCTGCATATAATATATAATTAGAAAAAAACTGCATAAATTTTGATTGCTATGCAGATGACACCGTGCTGTATTTATCTATGAAGCCAAATATAGAATTCTGCAGATTAAACTAAAAGCTTATCACAAAAAACCTGGTTCACTTTTAATTGCCTACTTTTAAATTCAGACATAAATTGAGGTTTATTGCATTCAGTAATAAAAATCTTGGAAACAGGATCTCTAACCAGATATTTACTTTAGATGGCAATTAGATGGGTCCAATAACACTGTGAGAAATTGTAGATCTCTTGTTTGCCAGCATATGTTGTTCAGCGCACTTATTAAACACATTAATTTGCACAATATTGCTAAAATTTGAAGCATCGTGTCTCGTGGTGATGTTGAAGATTGAGTTCATAGACTTATTTGTTTTTTTATTATTTCGCTCATATTTGCGTCTCTCCAATGGTTCAATTAAATTCAAAGTTTATATGCAAATATGAGAAGGATCATATCTTAAAGACTTCACATAACATATTATGCTAACAGAGCAATTCAGTCTCAGACTGCAGGCTTCTCAGCTCACCAAGTTCTACTATAATGGCAAAAAATAGCAAAACAACTGAAATGTTACTGAATGTAAAAATCAATGTGATATATATATATTTTTTTTTAATCAGTCGTGGACCGGGGCGATCGTGGCTCAAGAGTTGGGAGTTCGCCTTGTAATCGAAAGGTTGCCGGTTGGAGCCCCGGCTTGAACAGTCTCGGTCGTTGTGTCCTTGGGCAAGACACTTCACCCGTTGCCTACTGGTGGTGGTCAGAGGGCCCGGTGGCGCCAGTGTCCGGCAGCCTCGCCTCTGTCAGTGCGCCCCAGGGTGGCTGTGGCTACAATGTAGCTTACCATCACCTGTGTGTGACTGGGTGGATGACTGGATATGTAAAGCGCTTTGGGGTCCTTAGGAACTAGTAAGGCGCTATATAAATACAGGCCATTTACCATTTACCATAACCTTTGTCAGTCAACAGTCTGACAGTCAACAAAAATGCAGTGAGAATAAGTTCCTTTTTTGTACAACAGAAGAAGATTTCACACAGACACAGACTTTCTTTTGTCACCATTTAATCCTTTAGATTTACAGTTTACATCAGAAGAATCAAACATGACACAAAGAAGATACTAAAAATACCAAAACAATATACAAAAATATTTCCCTTTATAAACATTTTTACAAGTAGCTGCATCAACACAGTTCTCAGTTTTCAAAATATAACTTAACTGTCTTTGTATTACTAAGAAACTTCACATGAGATAGAAAAGGAATGTGGCTTTTAATTTCATCAAATGTTACCATCGCAAACAGAATTAGTAACAGTAACATTGCATTCTAGAAACATAACAGGTCACATGAGTCAAAGGTGTCAGTGAGCAATAATTTGGCTGGGAATGGTCTCAAGACTGCATAGTAGGTGGCTAATAGCTGGTGTTGTAAGCCATCACCTCTGTTCAGCTTTGGAAATCACTAGATTCAGTTATTTTTCCTTTTTAGACATTTTCTCATTGTTAATGTGATGAAAATAAGGATTTCTGATAAAGTTTGAGTTAAAAGAGTCCAGTCAAATTTTAGACGTTTTCATTTCAATTTAAGCTTATTAAGTATCGTTTTTCAAGTCGCTTGAAACTGATGATCTCAATTTAGACAGCTTCATCATGAAGACATAAGGCACAATGATATAAACCTCAACCAAATATGTCATTTTCAAATTCAAGAAAACAGACTCGACAGGGCTCCAGAAATCTGTGCACCAAGCTAGCAAAAGAAATAAACTCTGTCATACTTTGACTAGTATGGTGGAGGTTTGCACATCTCGTTGTATTTTGGTGGTCTCGTGAGGATCATCATGGTGTGGCTGTTGAAGCGATACAGGTGGTACACCATGATGGAGGAAAGAATCACACCAAGGAGCTATTGGGGAACACAGGAAGATAAGTTAGGCATCAGGTTTTATTTAAGGTTAAATTTTAATGTTATTAAATTCTTTTTTTACTTTTTGGAATTAGATTTTGTACTAGTTTCCTTTTTGTTCAGAAACAGATGCTATAATTTTTCAGCATGTCAAACGTGGGGGTATCAAACTTTGCTGAAAACAATTTTAAAACAGATTTGACTCCCAATATCTGACCACAAAAACATTTCTGCCTGATGGTAAAAAAGCTGAATTTCTCCCTACTGTGGCACAGGGTCTAAGGACCTCACAGTCAACAAAAAGTTATAACCCTAATTTTAGATGTGAATAATAAATAGTGACTAACAGTGACTAAAAGGGGAGAATGCAGATTTTAAGTTATAGATCAGGCATTTATGCTGCTGAATCCTTAAATAAGTGATAATACTCACAGCTAGAATAGCCAGAGTGAAGCTGACCACAATGTTGATTTTGTTAGTAAACTGGATGTGGTCCATGATGGTGGGAAAGCAGGTCTGAAAATAGAAGGAAAAATGAAAACTGTTAGTTTCTGTCATGGACACACAAATGACTAAAGCTTTTTCAAAACGGTGCTGGGTCGCTTACCTTAGTGTAGACGGACTTTCTCTGCCGTGTTAAAATCTGGTAAAGCTGCAAAAATAAAGACGTTACAAACTGTGACACACTGAATAGAAGTGAAGCGAGCGGGTGCGCCGATGCTTACGTTTTTTCTCAGAGTCTGACACTTGCCCTCCTTCTCCTCCTCCTGGCTGCACACACAGGACTCGGGGATGTTCTCCCAGTCTTTGTAGCTGAACAGACCACAGCAGTGAAACTACAAACAGCAGCAGGAGAAGAAAGAAAGAGGAGAGTTACTCATCTTCAGGAGGATGAGACGACAGCTGGAAGCAGACTATAAAAAGTATGTGTGAGGGTTTTTTGTTCAACTTTTAAAAAAAACAACCACAACAACAACAAATTCGAGACAATGATAATGTATCAAATTACTTGTGGACAGTTTACTCGCTCTTATTCTGAAAGCTTGCTTGCTCCTAACCATTAACTGTGTATAACACAGAGACCTGCAGTGATGGGAAAAAGAAAACACGTCTTCTGTCAGTTCCAAGGTTTTACATATCAGGGCTTAAAATGCATCTAACCCAGGGTCTTCATTTATAAAAATCACATTAAAATGCTTGAGTGCTGTGTGAAAAACTAAGAACACCCACCGTTTAGTATCATGCAGCAATAACTGGCAAACATTACTTGTTGCAGCCTTTCCATATGGTTTTATTAGTCTCTCACATCGCTGTGGAGGAATTTTGGTCAACTGTTCTGGTTAACATCATTAACAAGTTCATTGATGGTTGTGGAGACAGCTCTCTGGAGGTCCCACAACACCATTTCAGTCAGGTTGGGGTCTGGACGTTGACTGGACCATTACAGCACCATGGCTCTTTGCTTTTTCAGCCATTCTGTTATAGACAAGCTGTTGTGCTTGGGATCATTGTTCTGATTATACTCGGACATACGTGGACAGATAGCCTCACATTACACTCTAGAACACCTTGGTATACAGAGGAGTTCAAGGTTGACTCAGGGACTGTAAGTTGACCAGATCCCATGGCTATAAGATTAGCCCAGTTGTTCTGAGGTTTTAATGCCGATATGATGTCTTTAGTTTGGACCAAACATGCCACTGTTCATTATGACCAAAAATCTCCACTTTGTTCTCGGTGGTCCGAGAACAAAGTGAAGGTTGCAAACCTAAACTTTGCTGCTATGTTTTTCATTTTAGAGAAAAAAGACTTCCTCCTGGCAACTCTTAAAGTCACTTGTTCAATCTTTTTATAATTGTACTGTCATGAACTCTTTATTCATGACAGCAGTAAGAGTTAAGTTTATTGTCACACACTCTAACAGTGTTAGAGTGTGTGAATGTAGAATGGGAGGGAGGGCCTTCAGTTTTCAGGCCCCTCTTCTGTGGAACCAGCTTCCAGTTTGGATTCAGGAGACAGACACTATCTCTACTTTTAAGATTAGGCTTAAAACTTTCCTTTTTGCTAAAGCATATATTTAGGGCTGGACCAGGTGACCCTGAATCCTCCCTTAGTTATTCTGCAATAGACATAGGCTGCCGGGGGATTCCCATGATGCATTGAGTTTTTCCTTTCCAGTCATCTTTCTCACTCACTATGTATTAACAGACCTCTCTGCATTAAATCATATCTGTTATTAACCTCTGTCTCTCTTCCACAGCATGTCTTTTATCCTGTCTTCCTTCTCTCACCCCAACCGGTCGCAGCAGATGGCCGCCCCTCCCTGAGCCTGGTTCTGCCGGAGGTTTCTTCCTGTTAAAAGGGAGTTTTTCCTTCCCACTGTTGCCAAAGTGCTCGCTCATAGGGGGTCATATGATTGTTGGGTTTTTCTCTGTATCTATGAAGCGCCTTGAGGTGACTTTTGTTGTGATTTGGCGCTATATAAATAAAATTGAATTGAATTGAATTAACATAGTTTTGTTGAATAAATAATGGCACAATGTCATATGTCATGTTTCATAGTTCACCTGAAGTTATTTTTTTTACCTAATATTAAGACCTGCTAAGGGGAAGATTACAAGTATTATGTCCTGATAGACAAAACCTTCGACTTTAAAGAGGGTTTACTTTCATTTTCCCATGACTGTAGCTCGGGAATAAAGCCAACACTCAAGGGCCCTAAATTCACATTAAAAAATATAACATCTAAATAATGAAAATTAAAAAACAAAATAAGATATTTAAAATAAATAAAGAGACAACCCTGAGCAGGTTAGAATATCTTACCTGTTTCTGAATGTCCACAGCCATGTTCCTCACATCCTTTCGAGATTTGTCCAGAGGAACAAACTTGTGGAATCTCTCCTCCATTCTGCCTTTGACCTGCAAACATGAAACATTTTTATATCATAAATTAAATTTACAGGATACAAAAATGTTTAATGTAGACAGATCATCATTAAAAAACATCTGACATTTCAAGGTAATGAAAATGTGTCTGTATTAACTGAGTTGACTTTAAAGTACATATTTAAAAAAACATTTCCAGTTAAATCAAATACTTTTATGTACTTGACTCCAAGCGTCCTGTCCTTACCTGAGGATAAGAGCTGGCAGCAGGGATTCCAGTCATCAGCATCAACAGACATCCTGTGAACATGAACACCAGGAACTGCAGAGAGGTACACAAAGACTTTTAATCTGATATCTTCAGTATGTGGAATTACTGAAATTACTTTACCCTGACCACTTTCACAAACATGTTGAGGCTTCAAAGTCACATTTCAGAAACAAATCATTGAAGCGACACTGTTACATCATCATTATTTATGGTTTTATAAGGAAGAAAAATAAGACAGTGCTGATCAGCTGGACAGTTCTAACACTGATAGAGTCCTCAAACTATTTTTCACAGCAGCTCATTTTAGAGCATTTGGAGCTAAATGGCTTCATTTAGGTTGATGAACAATTTCTTTTCTTTATTAAGTCAATGAGATTGTTGGCAGCTAAATGACTAAACTTTCATTCTGAGGTTGTGGAGATCTTTGTGCTCACCATGATCAGGGCCACTTTGCTCTCCTTGTGGGCTCCATAGGCTCCCAGTACAGCAATCATCATGGTGATGAAACCAATGATGTAGACAATGAAGAGTTTGGTAGCGTGACCCTCCAGCTGTGGACAGAAGTGTCACGAAAGGTTAATGGGCTTTGTCTGTTTGTTCCCACATGTTACATTTATGTTTGAATGTGTGCTCACGTTGTATCCTCCTTGAATGTTCATGAAGAACTGGCACCACAAAGCGAGGAGGATGACAACTCCACCAACAACCTGAACAAACAGAAACAGTCTGGTTAGAGCTGCTGGATCCTTTAAACACAACCAGGATATGAAATGACTGCACAGCCACGCACGTGGACGAGCACAACAACAAACTCTGAAAGTAAGAACAAACATGTTGAGTTGATGTCGGTTTATTTTACTCTTCTAAGCTTCAGTTTCATTTAATTGTAAAAAAGGAGGCAAATGTGGTTGTTTTTGACTGCTGCGTCTGCCTGCTGACTGGTTTGAAGTCTTTAAGGAGATTCTGGATTAAAGTCTGCGATTATCATTTGCTAAATCTCTTTACTCACCATGAAGAATATGTTGAAGACAGTGAAGATGTGTTTGAGGCAGATGTTGATCTGAGCCATGTTTGCAGCTGGAAAATGCAGTCAAAATAACAGTACTGTTCCCAAAGTCCAGATGAGCTCCGACTGCAGCGAAGTGAAGTGAGAGGAGAGCAGCTGAGTGAGCTGCTTTGAAGGGTTTCAGGGCTTTGCTGGGCGGGACGTCCGGTATGTTAGAGGTGGAAACTTCTGTGGAATGGTTGATTAGGAAGGGGAGGTTGAACGCAGGGTCTTCCTCCTTCCAGTTAAATCCAGTGGAAATAGTTGTTGCTGTGAACAGGGAGGGAAGCTGTTCTCAGGCTGGCTGGAATGGAGGAGAGGGCGGTGTTATGCCCCGTTTAAAACAATCCAGATGTGGAGACACGATTCCTTTTAGTTTCATGAGAATCTGTCGTCAGCAGGAGGAGCTGACTTACTGAAATTCAGTTTATTCCTCTACAGTTTAAAGTAGATTTTACTGCATCTGCACACAATGTACTCAGAGTTTTTTAAATAGTGAGAGATATATTTAGAGGAGTATTACACTAACACACAGCGATGTTACATCCTTTTTATGTTATATCATCACATTTCTGCAGTGATTTAAAATGTAAAGCAGTATGAGTACTGCACTCAAATACAGATTACATCGACTTTAACTTCCCCCCTTATTACTTTTATAGTTGCATCTTATTAAATAATACTTTTTGTTTTATTTATTTTTTGTTTGAAGTAAGTTTTATACTTTTTTGTGTCTTTGTAGTTTTTTGTGCATATCACACTTGATTCTTTTATGATTCCTAATCATTTTTCATTGTGGAATAATTCGACCCACAAAGACTTTGAGCATCCACAGAGCACTTTTAGTCCTCCGAGTGTGAACGAGCTGTCAGACAGAGCAAAGCAATGCAAACACTACCCTCCAATGAGTCCCACGTCACTGTTTTGCAGAAATCTATAATTTGGGAAAAATACATGAAAAAATGTGTCATTATTGCCTCGTTAAGCCATGGAAAAATTCAAGTGTTCTTATAATGTCCCGTGTTTAAACTCGCACAAATCTTGTGTACACCATTGCAGTGTGAGTGTGGTGGTTTCTTACTGGTCATTATTGGAGCTTAACACCTTCTTGTACAGCGGCCATTTGGGGCCGTACGTAACATTAGCATAGTTTATTTTGTGCAGTAGGCGCCCGATGAATCACAGATATCTACCGTTTTAAGAGGATAATAAACATAATTTTAAGGATCCTGTATGCTCTGTGTAATATGGATAACTGCAATAACTGTAGCATTAGAGCAGAAGGTACCTTCATCTGACAGTGCTGATCCCGATAAGTATGAAGACACCGTGACTTTGGGAACAGGTAGAAAATATTCTTCAGAGTTGAGCCATTTAAATAATTTATGTGTAGTGTAAAATATAGACACGCAGAGAAGACAGAGGAGATGTGATAGTCTAAATCAAATCAAGACATTCAGAGTATATCCGGAGGTAGCCTAATTTATTTCAGCCAATCACGACAAACTGCATACTGTGCATCAAAAACTGTTATGTAATAAAACTGTTTAAAATTAAATTGAATTAAATCCTCCACTGTGAAAAAAGTAGGTGAGGTTTGTGTTTATGCAGGGGCAGGGCATAAACTCATAATCCTAGCGGTCACATGCAAAGTTTTAAGGCGTGGGGCAACCACCTGTCATGGGAACCCAAACTTCAATAGAAGAGTAGTAAATTTAGGTCAGAGTAATATCATGTCTTTTACCAGTTTTAATTTAGCTTTGATATAAAGTGAGTAAATATTTATTTGTATTTTATATAGATAAATTACTATACATACTTGTAATTTCACACTGAATTTCTGTTATTACTGCCGCCCACCTGCACTATCTATACACACAACTAGGATGCCCTGACCAGCACTTTGTGCCCCGTAAGTTGCCAGGAGAGCTGCACACAAGACAAGTTAGCATTTTTACATGGTTAGTGGTTTAGCTTGTTACACTCCAATTTTTCCATTAAAACAAGACAGATTGAGGATGCCTCTCTCTGGATGCTGCCGTGGCCCGTGACCTTTCTCTACTAACCAATTACTAAGAATACAATAACTTCCTTTTTTAAACAAACGTCAGTGAAACAGAACAAGATTTTAATACAACACAGATTTTGTTTTCTTATCTTTTAATCCTGTAAGACATTTACATTTACAGTTTGCACCAGAAGGATTAAATATGACACAAAGAAGACTCCAAAAATAATTTTAAAAAATACAGAAATATTTTCCTTTATAAACATTTTTACAAGCAGCTGCATTAGCACAGCCCTCAGTTTTCAAACTACAATCCTCAAATTCTCCAAGCTACTAGCAAGCGCCACGTGACGTAACAAGGGAATGTGGCTGTTCTTTTATCCAGTGTTACCATGACAACAGAATCAGTTACATTAATGCACGGTCTGATATTGTCATGTTGACATTGTTCCTGGATCAGCAATACTAATTTGAGTCCTGGTTTAACATTCCAAGTAACCAATCACATTGTAGTGATGTCATCACTGTCACTTTTGGTGTTGCTTTTTGAATCATTTTACGGACTTTCAGTAGATACACCTGCGGTATCACTTAGAAGTTCCTGCGCCACTATCGTTCTCGAGTTATGGCATTCACAAACTTGAGTGTCCACACCGTCTTCCCGCCCAGCAGCATTAGGATAATACCCGATCAGCCTTTTATGACTGAGGGCTAACAACATGCAGTGCACCAAGGTAGCTAAAGAAAAGAAGTCCATTGTATTTTGACTAACATGCTGGGGCGTTGTGCAGCTCCTTGTATTTTGGTGGCATCATGGAGATCATGATGGTGGGTCTGTTGGGGTAATACAGCTGGTGGATCATAATGGAGGACAGAATAATGCCAAGTAGCTGTAGGGGAACACAAGAAGTTTAGTTAAACATCGGGTTGTCTTCAAGTTTTTGTTTTTAAAGTGAACCAATATTAGTGACTAAGCTGCTACATGTTTACCCAGAATATTTTTTTTTTTTTGACTGAAGAAGATTTGAGTAATAATTTAATTTTTGTTCTGCAATAGATACCATACCTTTCTAACTTTGAACATGGAGAATTCAGACTTTGTTGGCACATATTTACCCACAATATTATTGGGTGGGTAGTGGGAGGTGAGAGACTCAAGAGTGACCTTGGTCTTCCTCCCATTAGGGCCTACATGGATGACATGACCATTACAACAACAAAACCATGTACTAGGTGATTGCTACAGAAGCTCCAGGAAAACATAGAATGGACAAGAACGGAGTTTAAGCCAAGTAAACCTCGCAGAATCTCCATCATAAAAGGAAAACTGACAGCCGAGCAATTCTATATCAGTGGAGAACCAATTCCAACAGTCTTAGAGAAGCCCATAATGAGCCTGGGACGGTGGTATAATGCAGACCTCAATGATACGTGGCAACTAAAACAACTAAGGCTTAAATTGGCTGACGACCTCCAGCAGATTAACAACACTGCACTCCCAGGAAAACTGAAGCTCTGGTGCTTCCAGTTTTGGTTATTACCCAGACTACTGTGCCGTTGAAAATGTACGGGGTCTCACTCAATCATGCCAATCGACTAGAGGCTAGTGAGATCCTCCTTTAAGAAGTGGCTCGGACTTCCCAAGTGCCTCAGCAGCATTGGACTCTACAGTGACGGGATACTGTCATTGCCTATCCCTAGCCTGGTTAAGGAGTTTAAATTTCCAAAAGTGAGGCTTGAGATGTCACTCACGGACTCCTGGCACCCCATAGTGAGAGGCAGTGCTCCCACCCTAGCAACGGGGAGTAAGTGGACCCCAGCCACATCTGTGCTACAGGCGAAATCCACTCTTCAGCATTGTGACGTGGTGGGTCACGTCCAACAGGGCAGAGGAGGATTTGGTCTTAGCGCAGTAACACCTCGATGGGAACAGGCATCTGTAACCGAACATCGGAAAATGGTAGTGGAGGAGGTGCGACGACAGGAGGAAACAGCCAGACATGCCAGAGCCGTGGCACTGGTCAAACAGGGTCGCTGGATGAATTGGGAAAGTGCGAAAAAGAGGAAACTCTCATGGTTTGAAATCTGGGGCATGGAGTCTAATAAACTAAGTTTCATCATCCGAGCGGCATACGATGTGCTACCTTCCCCAATAAATGTGCAGCTGTGGTTTGGAAAGGACCCATCCTGCCCCCTGTGTATAGTCCCAGCCACACTAAAGCATATCTTGGTTGGTTGTAGGACTAGCCTTACTCAGGGCAGATACACATGGAAATACAACCAGGTTCTCAGGTGTCTTGCCGAGAAAGTTGAGTGAAAAAGAAAATCCATTAACGCTAAACCTTTCACGAACCAAGAGGAGCGTCAGTCTTCATCAACATTTGTCCGGGAAGGAGACAAACCGAGGACAAGCCCCTCAAACCCAGACCTGGGCCCGCTGAAGGCCGCCAGGGATTGGCAGATGCAAGTGGACTTGGATCAGAGGCTAATTTTTCCCACAGAGATCGTAACAACTACTTTGCGACCAGACCTCGTCCTTTGGTCAACTTGGCACCTGAAGCAGAGCACAGAGGCTGGAAGATCAAGGTGCGCCTGGTGGAAGTGAGGTGCAGGGGCTTTGTTACCAGTACAACAGCAAAACTGCTTAGAGAAACTGGGATCAGAGGACAGGCGCAATGGCAGGCTATAAGAGATCAAGCTAACACTGCTGAGAGGACCAGTCACTGGATATGATTAAAAAGGGCTGACATCACTTGGGCAGCTAAGGCAGTCAGCTAACCAGGAGAGAAAAGAAATATTCCGCTCTTCTCCTCTCTGCTCTTCTTCCCTTTTCTGGGAGGCAGTGGGGAGGTAGAGCGTACAGCCCGATCCGGCAGGGAGGTGTGGGAAGCCAGATTGGGTGCCCCCCTTCCAGCTCTTCTCTCTACTCTCTCCTATCTTGTCCCTTTTGTCTTACTTCTCTCTATCACCTTTTCTATCCCTTTGAAGAAGTTAGGCCCAATAAATGCTAAAGAGGTAAGTATTATTTCTCAGTTGCAGTGAATTGATAAAAAGAAAATGTAGGAAACTAAACAGAAGAAAGAAGAAAAGAAATAACAATTTAACATAAACCAGTGACACACTCCAGGGCCTGATCAACCCTGGCAGGGCCTCCTTGGATGAGGGTGTCTAGTGAGAATGGCCGAAACACCTGATGAATGCAAGGTCCACTACTGATGATGTGTCCCAAATTTAAAATGGTAATCTAGATCGATCTCTAACCCCTAAACCTAACCAAGGAAGGAAAATGGCAGATTAGCCTGGGTAAAAGACCGAAAGTTGAGGCAAAGTTTCTGGGCTGCCTTTCCTCATAACAGCCATCCCTCAAGAGTCTCTCCATCTAAAGCAATGCATTATCAGGGACTGTAACATCTAGTCCTTTTAACTGAACTATATATGACTTTTTGAATGTTAGGTGCCTGAATCACCACCCCCTTCACCACCATGCTGATGGTTAATATAAGGTGTTTTTTTTCCAATGTGACACTTTCCATTATGACCAGAAATTTCCATTTTAGTCCCAAAGTATCGTCTTTCTCAAATTCTAAAGTCATGAACTTTATTATTTAAGTTGTTAACCTGTTAGCAGTCGGACGTACCGCCCACGGTACATTGGATGGTTTAGGGGACTAATTGTAAATTTGTAGGACTGCTAAGGGGTTAACAGGCGTCTGTAGAATTTGACTGTAGTTTATGAGATTTTTGAACTTCCATCCACTCCTAGTCAAATCGTTTCCTTGTGTTTAAACACACCTGATTGTCCCAAAACAGTAAACTGCTTTTATAGAGGTGCTCGCACTTTCTGATGATCAGCCCTGCATTTGATTGGCAGCAGAGGCTGCTACCTGCCCCGGCAGAGAATGCAGATTGCAAATTATAGAGTGGACATTTACACTATTGAATCCTTGATTAATACTCACAGCTAGAATAGCCAGAGTGAAGCTGACCACAAGTATGATGTTGTAATGAAACTGGATGTGGTCCATGATGGTGGGAAAGCAGGTCTGAAAATAGAAGGAAAAATGAAAACTGTCAGATTCTGATATAAACTGAGAGATGATTTAAGCTTTTTCAAAGTGGGGCTGGGTCGCTCACCTTAGTGTAGACGGACTTTCTCTGCAGCATGAAAGTCTGGAAAAGTTACAGAAATAAAGACGTTACAAACTTTGACACACCGTGACCAGTGAAGCGAGTGGGTGCATCGATACTCACGTTGTTTTTGACAGTCTGACACTTGCCCTCCTTCTCCTCCTCCTTGCTGCACACACAGGAGTCGGGGATGTTCTCCCAGTCTTTGTAGCTGAACAGACCACAGCAGTGAAACTACAAACAGCAGCAGGAGAAGAAAGAAAGAGGAGAGTTACTCATCTTCAGGAGGAACACAGAGGAATTCATGGTCCACTCAGTGACTGTGGTATTGTGTTAACTCACACCTGACCAACAAACTGCCAAAGCTTCTGCTTTTATAGAAGTGCTCACACTTATTAATGATTACCTAATCAAGTGCATTAGAAACAATAAGGACTTAGTTTACTTTTATACAATTTAACTTACTTCTTTTTATATAAACAAAGGCACCATACGGTGTAATATGTCTCGTTTGACATCACATCTGAGGTTATTTTTAAGTGATTATAAAACCCGCCAAGGACCACATTGCATTTCTTAAACAGTGGATACTTTATTTTTTCCATGACTGTAGCTTTTGGTTAAACATTAAATATAAATACAGGAAAATAAAACAGGTGGCAATATCTTACCTGTTCCTGAATGTCCTCGGTCATGTTCCTCACGTATGTCGAGGATTTGTCCAGAGGCACAAGCTCTCTGAATGTCTCCACTCCGATGCCTCTGAGCTGCAAACATAGACATTATGTTTACATCGATTAGATTTACATAGTAAAACTTTTAGAAAGCATCTTAAAGGTTCAGGTAATGGTAAAAAAAAAGAGTTTATATGTGCTGATGATTATAATAATGTAAAACAGGTTTATAAGTCGGTCTTCATGTCAAATGATTCGACCCCACAGCAGCACATCCTGGCCTTTACCTGAGGATGTATGATGGCAGCTTGGATTCCAGTTATTAACATCAGCCAACATCCAATGACCGTGTACACCAAGGACTGCAGAGACATGCAGGGATACTTTTAATCTAATATCTTTAATCTTTGGGGCTTAGTAGAAATCAGAGTGATGGAATTATAACTTTTACAGTATTCTGAACTAAATGGCTTCATAAGATTTATTGAATCATTTCTTTTCTTTAATTTAATGAGTGGAAAATGTAATCACCGTGATCAGAGCCACTTTGTTCTCCTTGTGGGCTCCGTAGGCTCCCAGCGTGGTGATCATTATGGTGATGCAGCCTACGATGAAGAGGATGAAGAGTTTGGTGGCACGACCCTCCAGCTGTGGAGAGAAGTGTCACGAAAAGGTTAGTGGGCTTTGTCTGTTTGTCTCCACGTGTTGCATTTATGTTTGAATGTGTCCTCACGTTGTATCCTCCTCGAATGTTCATGAAGAACTGGCACCACAGAGCGAGGACGATGGCCACTCCACCAACAACCTGAACAAACAGAAACAGTCTGGTTAGAGCTGCTGGATCCTTTAAACACAACCAGGACATGAAATGACTGCACAGCCACACACGTGGACGAGCACAACAACAAACTCTGAAAGTAAGAAACAAACATGTTGAGTAGATGTCGGTTTATTTTACTCTTCTAAGCTTTGGTTTCATTTACATGTAAAAAAGGAGGCAAATGTGGTTATTTCTGTTTTACTCACCATGAAGAATATGTTGAAGACAGTGAAGATGTGTTTGAGGCAGATGTTGATCTGAGCCATGTTTGCAGCTGGAAAATGCAGTCAGAATAACAGTACTGTTCCCAAAGTCCAGACGAGCTCCGACTGCAGCGAAGTGAAGTGAGAGGAGAGCAGCTGAGTGAGCTGCTTTTAAGGGTTTCAGGGCGCCTCACACAGAGAGGCGTCATGGATATGTTGGATAAGGAAACTTCCAAGGAATGGATAGAGAATACAGGAATCATATTTAAGAACTTCCTCTTTGTTTTTCCAGGAAACCTAGTGGAGATCACTGGGTTCAGAACAAAGGGCAGTGGAAAAATTAGTCATTCAACAGGAGAGGCTGCTTACTGTAAGCCAGCTTATTGACACAGCACCTGAACAAAATGTATTCTGTTTTTTGGGGTTTTTTTTAATAAGAAATGTACGTTTCATAGGTTGTAAGTATATTCTCCTGTAATCCCAAAATAAAAATGTTTTGGGATTGAAAATTCTTTAGGTTATTTAAGTATAATGATTAAATAACAGACATCAGGGCTTTTATTACACTATTTTCTGGTTCAAATGTCTTTTAACTTCAGGAGTTTCACAACCTGAAACAACGGAATGAAACAAAGACACGTCTGAACATTAAATCATAATTTTTAACATCTCATAGTCGAGCTTTTTGCAGCACCTGATACTCACCTAAACCTGGGTCATCCGTGGCACTAACATGACAGAAGGCTGAGTGAGGAAGATAGCATTTTACAGCATTTGGAAATGGAGTCATACTCTGCTGACAGGGGATGAGGTGGAAGAAGGTCAGATATTGGAAGCAAGAACATGGAAGCTCAAAGGAGGACATAGATGAGGACCCTGAGCAGAGTTAAAGTGGCGACACCCAAATTTCATTATGGATCAGCTAGGGATCTGCCAGCCTGTGTGGTCTCACGTTCCAGAGGTTTATCCTCTGAGCAGGGATGGTGTGACAGCAGATCACACTCTCCCTTCTCAGGCTCATCAAAAGCTAGCTTTGGCCTTCTTCCACCTCACCTTCTAATGTCTGGAGGTCTGACGCTTCTTCTACATATTCATCCTTCCGTCTGCTTCCTGACGCGTGGATACAGGTTGATGTTCGGCAGACTGAAGTAGCTTTGTTGCATTCTGTTTAAGAGGTCCCAACTTCGGTGGGACAGTGGACGTGCTGTCCTTCTCCTCGTTCTTTACAGTGACAGTCAGTAACACACAGACAATGATATTCAACTAAAAAACAACAAATAGTCTGAGGTAAGGCAAATACACAGCATTTGTGACATGAAATATGAAGAGAAGATGGGGGAGAATTCGTACAACACGCAGTTGTGTAAAAACAGTAACTGTAAAGACATTAGAAAATAACTGTAAACTGCTACGTCCACACTAGCCCGAATAGATTTTTCGTCTGAAAATGCTCCGCGTCCACACTGGCGTTTTCAGTCGTTTTCACAGAGTTGTGCGTCCACGTTGAAACGACCGAAAACTCTTACGTTCCAGTACTGCGCATGCGTGAAACGCAAGATGATTCGGCCTGCCTCATTTCTGTCTGCCGTTTATTTACTTTGCGGCTCTTTGAAACGTCGCGGCAAAATGTCGAGGAAAAGCACCGAGTTTTTTAAATGGACTAACAATGAAGTGGAGTTGTTGCTGCGAGTAACATAAAACTACAAAGTTGGCAAAGCGAGTGAGATTTAAAGAATTTGAAGAAAAGCTATCGGGAGCATGTACAGACTGATATTAACCTTTAATAGGGCTGTCAAAATTGAGAGCAAAAAAAACAACAACTGCTGTATAATGCCCTCCACTCTCTTTGTTTAATTGGTCACATGACTGCATCACATGACTAACATGCGTCATCGTTTTCAAATGTCTGTTTTCGCTGCCCACAGTGCGCATAAGAGCGTTTTGAAAACGCCGTCCCAGTGTGGTAGTGATGGGATTTCCGGCTCTTTTTAGAGAACCGGATCTTTCAGCTTGACTCATTAAAAAGAGCCGGCTCTTTCGGGTCCGAACCGGCACTTCAGATTGTTTTGCTGCTTTAATTAATTTATTATTAACAATAATATAAAATTATGCACAAAACGAATTACTAATGTAAAAAAAGTGGTTTTATTTATATATGTTTATATATAAATATAAGCGGTGGCCCCTCGAGACAAAGCACGTACAAACTCCAAAACATTTCTAGCATTAACTGAACTTCAAAACAGAGCTACCTAGATCACTTAAATTACACAACTGAAAGCATGTGTGTATTGTTTGTGTATTTATACACAAGCACTCATATATATTCAAATAATTTTTAAAAAAAAAGTTCATTTACCTGTTACTACCACACACCAAATACGGTCGTTGGTACTTGCTGGCTTGTGTCGCCACTGACAAAAGCTCAACACTGCGCCCAGCATCCTGGAGCACTTCTGTTGTCTTTTGTACCTGTTTTGGAGTTTTTACGTGTTTTGAAGTTTGTACGTGCTTTGTCTCTAGGGTCTACCATAAATAGACATTTATTTATTCACTCCACATAAAATGTAATAAATAAATCATATAATACAAAAAACAATTTCATTCAAACCCATTTCAACTTTTAACTATTTAAATTTTCAGCTTTTTCCTTTTAAACAAATTTAAAGTGAAACAACACAAAACACTGCAAACCACAACACAATTAAATATAAATTAAAATATGAAAACAAAAAGAAGATGCATATTCTCTGTTATATGGGCCTGCATGAATAAACTTTCTGAATCCTTTATCATCCACAACTGAAAATAGTTGTGGATGATTACTATACCTTTCTAATGTAATGTTGTTGTCCCTGGCTCTTTCTCTGTCTCTCCCTCCTGCTCGGTTCCTGTGCTACTGAGTGTAACTACCGCCCCTTTCTCCTCATCCCAGCGCAAAGCACAAGGCTCGCATGCGGAGTGAAGCAGAAAAAAAGTGTGAGAGAGGGTGAGAGAAAGAAAAAACAAAACAAAAAAACCCCCAAACCCACGGTTTGCAATGAGGACCCGGATCGCGTCGTTCACGTCAAAGACCCGGCTCTAAGAGCCGTTTCGTTCGCGACCGACACATCGCTACAGTGTGGACGGTAGGCCAAAACGGAGAGAAACGATGCGTTTTCATACGAAAAAGCATTAGTGTGGACGTAGCGTTAATAGCAAAAATTCACGTGCTTTACCTTGTGGTAATTACCAATCCTTAGGACACGGTTATATTTCTCACCCGATACAAAAGGTGTGAAGATTGTTGGGAATTGTATTTCCAAACTTAAAATATGTGTGTTTGTAATGTAAATAAATGACAGACCCGTGGTTAGAGAAGTAAAACTTTATTTAGTTTCACAGGAAACATTAAATTTATCTTATTATCCAAAAAAAGCTTTCAGAAACATTTCTTAAATAAACTTGAGTATTTTAAATAAATAAATATCAAAGATGTTCAACACTCCATTTTAACGGCAATAATTTCTCAATAATTAAACAACTTTCAAAGAAATTTCCAGAAAAACCTGAAAACATGTCAAAGAAATTTCCAGTAGTTAAATATATGCATGAAAATGAATTTGGGTTCCTTTCAATGACACTTGCCAAAAAAGGGTCAGAAATTAAATGCCGCTAAAATAAAGCACTGCTCGATGTTAGCACCCCCGGACACTTTCAGATGTCGGCAGCGTCATGCACCATGCAGCGTCAGAGCCCTTTGGGTTTTTGATCCGGTTAAGGTGACCTCATCTCAAGGGAGAAGCTGAGATGCAGAACGAGGCGATCCAGGAGCGAGCGAGTTTGGCGGAGGCGACAGAGAGCTGGCGCAGAAATGATTCAGGGTCGAGTGCAATTTACAAGACGCGGCCGATGCTTCTAAAGTTTGCATCATACAAAATATAATTAACACATTCTAAAAATATCTCTCTTTGCCACAGAGCGCCACACCTGTCCACACCAGAACACTAAATGTGGTTTAAGCCTCAAAATAACTGACAACAAAAATCTCTCGTTTTTTAAAATGTCTGCTTAAAAAACCTCAAAGATCTACAAAATGTCTGAAAGCTAGCTGTGGAGATGTTTCCATCAAATTTCAAGGTGACACAAAAACATTCAACAAGTTACAACTTCTCACATTTGAGCTCCACCTCCATCTGTTTTCTGATTAATGATTTAGTGAAGAAAATTTCTAAAACTTTTCAGAAATAGCCTCTGCCAAATTTAGTTTTCACCACCAGCAGTTTCTTCATTCATTTTAGCATTACTTCCATTTTTCAATATATGCTGCCATTAAATAAAGTTTACATTTACTCATGCACCATCTTGTGGTGCGAAATGGTATTACATTAAGGTAGAACTCAGCCTTGGTTTAAGGTGGCATCTCTTTAACACCACACACAGGTGTTTTGAGAATAAAGTCATAGCTGTGTTTCTTAATATTCACCAATATTTATAGATTTAGTTAATTTTGTGAGGTTCTAAACTATTTTTAAATAAAAAGTCTTTAAAATGCAGAAGGAAAAAGAAAAATCTCAGATCTAATATTCTGGTCTTTTTCCACTGCTGTTCATATGAAATTCTGGGGGCTTCTGTTTGTAGGACTTTCATAATGATGGTGGAGCTTTAGAGGGCGTGGACCTGAGATTGACCAGTGAAGATGAGTGTTTATGTAAGCTGCGCCAAAATACAGAAAGCAAAACAGAAGAAACGACACCAACCATTTAAAAAAAAAAAAAAAAAAAAAAAAAAAAAAAGAAGAGAAACCCGAAGCAAAGGGAAGCTTGGCGTTACCCGACAGACCCTTGACGGGCTCATTCCAGAGGTTCAAGGTCAGAGAAACAGTTCAAATAGCAGAATTATTAACTTTTTCAAGAAAATCTTCTCAGTTTTGAAGAAAGTGCCCGCATGTGCCCGAGAACTGAAAGTTTATTTTATTTGGGATTTAGTCAAAGTATCTGCATTATTCTGAAGTTTGTGGAAGTCCACATGTGAGAACACCAGCTGTGAATGCTCACATGAATGGGCGGTGTGTGGGGGCAAGGGCGTGGTCTCAGCTGAGGTAGGTGAGGATGACAGACTGTATGGGCAGCCTGCAGACTGGGCACAGTTTGTTCCTCTTCTTCAGCTTCCTGGCGCAGACGTAGCAGGACATAAGGTGTCCGGTCCGTCCGTGCACGATGCAGCCATTCTTTGGTCGCGACTGACAGATGAGGCAGGGGTCCAGGCACGAGTCCGGCAGACGCCACTCCGCCGAAACGCTGCGCTCCATATCGGGGACTTGCATGGTAGGAGGAGCAGCTGGAGCTGCAGCTGGAGCAGGGGAAGGTGGGAGAAGCTCCTGAGAATCAATGGAGGATGAGTGTGAGGAAGAGGAGGGCTGGGATTCGGGAGTCCAGAGCTTCTCCTGTGAATAGGAGGAGGAAGGCTGGGAGCATGAGAGGAGATCCTGGGAGTTTGGTGCGGAGGAGGCGGAGTCAGCAGCGGCGGAGGAGCAGGTGGAGTCGGACGCACACTGTGAGTGCAGAGGAGGAGTTTTTAATCTCTTCCCATCTGGAACATCGACTCCGTTCTCCTCCATGTCAGAACCTGCAGGACACAAATCAATCAATCGATTAGCAGCTTGTCTGTCACCAAAGATTAAACTGACAGCAAGCTGCAGTTCCTCTAGTGGCCACTTGAGGAAAAAGTGAGCCAGTCAGCACCTGCAGGTTCTCACCTGAACATCTCTGTGCTCTTCTAGAGCGTTTTTAATTAAATTATTCGATTTCTAATACTACTAGTACTAATTATAATAATAATAATAAGACTTGAAAATGATTTCTACATTCATTTTGTGATTGGCTATTCATTAGAAAGTGTGTGCAGATAGGGATGTGCACCAAAAATCGAGTATCAGCTACATCGATCTGAGATGAGGTGTACAGCAGCAGCTTGTCTCTTTTTCCTCTCTGCCTAATGATTGGTTTTCTAAATTGTCGCTTCGGTATTCTGATGTAGACAATCATCACCAGTGGTTTTAGGTAGGCTGTGTCTGACTAATATGAAATAATCTGAGTGATGTGTAATTCTGCACAGGTGTGTTGACATTGGCACACAGGGACATCTGACCTGGTTTTATAGACTGAAGATATTCTGGGGGTTTTCTAACCTTTACACTCGTCTTTGATTCACTGGAGATTTCCCTTTGTTATTTGAAAAGTTATTTGTTATTTTTGTTTTTTGTTTTTTTGGGGGGGTATGTTAAATGAAGGAGTCCAAACTTGATTGACTTTTGAAACGTCTGTGTCCCCCTTCTTTCGTTTGCACCTCTTTGACAGCATTACTCTGAAAACAAACTACTTTGGTCTCTGTAGTCATGATAAGATTTACCTGGAGGTTCTTTGGCAGCTGATAGGTTGGTCGGCTTTGTGGGCAGGGCTTTAGGGCTGGAGGAGGCACAGTTGACGGACACATCAGGTAGCCAATCCTGGCGCAGATCCCAGCAGCGGAGGCAGTTTCTGGGCAGAGGAGGGTTCAACTCATCGCATTTCGCACAGCGCCAGTAATCCTGAGAGGAAAACACTCCATTACACCTGAACAACTTGCGTAAGTGTGTGGCTTTGTGTCATCTGTGTGTTTGTGCAGCAACTCACAGCTTCAGTAATCTCTGTGTCTTCATCAAAGGAGTCGTCGTCATCTGCTTCGAAGATCGTGACCTCATATACCTGCAGCACACAGACAAGATGGCTATTAGTAACGTTGTCGAGCCAAGGTAGATGTTTAATGGCCAGCTCGGTCTATTAAGTGGTTCTTACCTGATCATCAGCAGAGAGAGAAGCATCATCTTCATTGTAATCATCTGAATCTATGGACTCGACTTCAAATTCAACACTGAAGTTGTCGCTGTCAGAGTCTGACGCTGCGTCCGTGACCTCTGACCTCCCAGACTAAACACACACAGAGTCCACATTACACATTATACATCAACACAGGCTCAATAAACCACTGAATGTGCGTCATGCTCACTGTGCTGTGCGAGTCAGATGATTGGCTGCTGTGTCTTTCTCGCCCGCTCCCAAGTCCTCCAATCACACACCAGGACAGGCTGTCGTCGAACGTCAGCGAGTAGCTGTCAGACCGTCTCCTTTTCGTGCCTCCCTCTTCCTCCTCCTCCTCCGAGTCTTCTTCAACATCCCCCTCGTCTACACTGTGTGAGGGACCTGCAGACAAAAGGTGGGCGGAGTTTGGTTAAACAGTTAAACACCTTGAATGAAATGGTGGTGGAGTTAGTACTGGTACATCTTGAGGAGAAACTCACCTGGCTCATTGCTCCTGCAGCTCCACCTTCTCCTCCTCCTTCTCCTCCTCCTGTCAGGCGATGAAGAGCAACCTTCTGTTTCTGCCGCCTGAAAGCACAAACACGTTTTTGAGCTGATTTTCAAACTTTTAAACTCTTGTTGGGCCATAGAATAATCACCAAATTCCATGTGACTTTTAAATTAGATCATACACATTAGATTTGTTTATGATCATCATCCCCAAAAGGTTCAATTTCTCCCAAACACAAAACAAAAAAGTCACACAAAGGCAAGAAGGAAAGACTGGAGCCTCCTGGTGTGCAGCCAGATGTGTCTGAGTATGTGTGTTAATAGGATAACGTGGCTTGTGTTCTAATGACACAATTGAGTTAACTAATAATACAGCAAAACACTTTGTTTGTTGGTTTTTGGTGTTTTTTTGTCTGTAAAAATTCTGCTGCAGCTCGTTCGTGGTTAAAGTGTGCGTTTGGATTATTTAGCCACAAACAGCAGCAGCACAAATTCAAAGTTTTACAGTTTGCCTGCTCTTTACGTTCACCGCCACCCTCTTGGATTGTTAAGCTGGGGTTACTGGGACTGCTTTTACTTTCTGGGTTGGAAATCTGAGTTTCCAACTCAATCAGGAATTCACTATAATAGCGGTTTGAGTGCTCAGCAAGAGTAGAATGTTTCTTTCTGTAATTCAGAAGGAAGTCTGTAAAAGTGTCGGTAAATATATTCCTCAGTGAAGACTGCAGCAGTGTTTTTGCTTCTTAGGTGGACTCATAACTGGAGTTGAGTGCACCTGGAAGTAATTCTCTCGTAAGCTGGAATGGTTCAGAGGTTGGAGCTTGTAAAATGGTCCAAAATAGCCTGTGTGAATAGCACAAGGTGAAACGTTACTTTGAGTTTATTCTAAACTTCTTAAATGCTGCGCTCACAGCGAGGGAAAGGAAGCTGAAGGTACGTAAATGTGAAGGAACAAACCCGGGCTAGAAATATCCAAGGTTTATCTGGCAAAAACACAATAGACGTAGAGAATCCAAACATGGTGTGCGTCTTACCTCCGTCCTTCTGTCTGTCTGGCTGCTGCTGTGCGGCTCACTCAGACTTGTTGTTGATTCTAAAGAGAGTGTTTGTCAGAGTCAGACCAGCAGGATATCATCTATATATACACAAACACACACACCCTCAATATTTAGAAAGTATGCCTTTATCCTCCTGAAGGAAAAGCAGGTGGAGGTCTAACATTTCTTCCCCAAAAGTCAGAAAAACAAGTTAATTTGGAGTCAATTGGTGTTTACACAGAACCAAAACAGCTCAATTTTAGCCCCTTGGCTTTCCACCTGTGGGCACTTCAGGGGATGTAAGACTGGATATTTTCGGACCACAAAGGTGTAGCTGTATTTAATAATGTGCCTCGTGTGCAAAATGCGATTCCTACCTGGACTCCTGACAGCCACCAGGTTCTTGGTGATCATTGCAAACAGAACCCTGAAACAAGAAAACATCACATATTTTATTTAAAGGGGTTTTTTTTCCTTTTAGTGAGTCTGAAGGACCAAAAGCTTCATCCTCTACCACTCACTCACCGCGGCTCTTTCACGGAGAAGCTGTCGACTCCCAGCACACGGCCCAGAGCATCCTGGGCGCAGTGGACGATGTGTTGCTGCTTCTGGTCGTACAGCTGCTTCTGGATGATGTACTGACCCAGGTAGAACATTACCTGCAAAAACACAGAGATACATCGTGGGATGATTGTAGGATGCACAGGCTAATTATTACGTTTGGGTGTTTTGTTATTGTGGTTTTTAAACATCAGCAATTTTACCACCATTACAAGACTGCAGTCAGATTAGCTGAAGTTATGCACTCTGAAAAAGGATAAGCTGAGTTTCTTCTCTTTTCTCTACATCCAGAAAATACTGTTCAGGTGTTCTTTGTTGATCACACATATAATTACAGCGTTTATCTTGCCTCAAAACTGGAAACTCTGCATGTTCCTGTTGGTTTTGGAGCTTTTGATGAGCAAACATGGAATTTATTAGTAAAGTATTTTCCAAAACAAATTTTATTTCCTTTTTAAACGCACCAAAAATCGTTAACATGCATGAAAAATCCTAATAATATGGGCTGCTTGTAGCTTTTGTTAGTGGGCGTTTTCTTCTCAACATCTAAGCTGCAGCAACAAATGAGAAAAAAGAAATCCAAGTCACAGATGATGAGCTCACAAAGAAAACAAAACAATGTATAAATAAATAACGGTGCAAAAAAATAATACAACCGCAGGGTCTGTTTATAGAGCTTAACACAACGAAGACCACTGCCCCCATTTGGATTCCACGATGGTAGAGCTAAGGTTTGTGAACTGCAAAAGACAAAATCAAAATGACACTGAAGATTGGCATAAGAGTGGGATGCAAATGACAAGGATTTAACCTTCAAAATAAAAGACCACGGGCAGGGGGACTGCCCAGAAATTAAAAAGTGTCTATATGTGGGAAGCACTGCAGACATGAGACTGAGAGGGAAAAGGAGTCGAATAGGGAATCCTGGAAAAATCACGAGGATGAACTAAAGGAGAGCTGGGGTGAGTCTCAAAGTTCTCCTTTTTTCACGCCGTCCTCATTAAAAGGCCAAAACACCATTTTTCCTGCATTGGTAACAGATCTTCGCAGTGACCAGTAATTTCCAGCTACCACGCAGCTCGATCACACCAGTGTACCATGGAAAAGAGCAGCTTGGTCACAATCACGATATCAGCAATAACGGCAGAGTCTGAAACTTTCAGGGGCAACCAGCAGTGACGTGTCAACCGAGTACCACAAATGTCAATGACAGCAACGACAGCGTGCGAAATCACCTCCGGCAACTCGGGGTGGGCGGGTCCCACGCTAGCCTTCAGACTTTTCTAACCTTTCAGAGAAGCAACTGAAGCGAATAAGAGCGCAGTTCAGTGTAGTAAATACAATAAAGGGGTTACCTAGGCAACCAGAGCCTGGAACATCCGCTATTGATGAGCAAATTGCTTCCTGTTTAGCTGTACGAAAGCAAAAAGAACAATCAAACACTTAAAATAGTTTTCCACTTATAGTTTGTAAAGTTTCTTAAGACTTTCTGCAACTTGCTTTTTTATTCTGTCTTTCGTTACATCCTGCCTTTTTTTTAAACATTTTTCTTTTTTTGCATGCCAAAGAGCAAAGTGAACTGGACTCAAATATCTTGTAAGTGTGCACAAACTTGGCCGAATAAAGATGACATGCACGTTTCTGATAACGATTTTTAAATATGGAATCGTAACACCACCAGAGACAATATATATCACATTTTATAATTTTTACTTTGCTGAGCTCATCCTGCATTCTACTTTACTGAGCCGATTTTATTACAGCTGTGTCTAATGTTTTGGCTGCTGTGATAGCAGATTTTTGGACAGAAAAAGCATATTTAATCTCACGCACTATCTGCAACGTATGACTACAAACTTCCCCATAAGGTGGCAAGGTTTCATCATAAAGTGTGCAAATGCAGTATGAGGCAGGTGTTTTAGGCAGGAGGGGGCAGTGGTAGTAAAGGAAGTTCTGGGTTCATTCATTCATTGCTGTCTGTGAATGCAGGTCCGGTAACAGTCCTAACACCACCTGACGACACCCCTCACACATCAAAGCCGACAAAAAGACCGTCTCAAAGCTCCCGGTGAAATGTGGAGCAGTAAATGGAAATGCTGTACCTCCTTCATGGTGAAAACATCTTTAGTGGCTCCAGCGTGCTGCAGCAAAGAGCAGAACTCTACCTTTGGTCTCACCTGAACGCACACAGAGAGGAAAACGTTAAGTCACACAGTCAGTGAAGAGTTACGAGCACATGAAGAAGTCGGGAACTTGCCGCCCTCACCAGTTTGTTGTCGTCCTCCGTGGTCCAGGTGTTGGTATCACTGTCGGCTGACATGGTGAAGCTGATTGTCCCTGCACGCCAACACACAGCAGATTATGACAGATTACATAAACCAGTACAGTATTTTTTAAACATAATAGATTTGGAAAAAGCGCTCCTAAAGTAAATCTTTTTCACAGCGTAAGACAGATTAGGCATTCATCATTAGCATTAGTTATATTTCTTTGAAGTCCTCCCCCTCCATCTGCGGCACTGCAATATAAACCCGGATACAGAAAGTATAATCCCAGGCTTACTGTGTAAATATTATCATCTTCTTCGTCTGTGTTTAATCTGCCTGGTTTAAAAAGTTAATTTAACCTTTTAAGATGATGCAGGTTTGTTTAAAGCAAATCAAATCACTTTTATTGTCACATCACATGTGCAGGTACACTGGTACAGTACATGTGAGTGAAATTCTTGTGTGTGAGCTTCACAAGCAACAGAGGTGTGCAAAAGTATAACATAAGAACAAGCAAAATATAAGAACGGCTAAATCTGAGAATTATATGAATATAAGAGTGTATGCATATTACTGAATGTGAATACTAAATGTGTGTGTGTGTGTGTGTGTGTGTGTGTGTGTGTGTACACATATTTTACAAATTAAATAGAGTAAACAATAAAATATCTAAAATATACAGAGCATGCCGACCGTCTGGTGTTGACTGAGAGCAGCCGACTCCTTTTCTGTGTTTTTATTTTGCTTACACAAAAACACATCTGGAGGAAAAACCTCGGCCCTGGACGAGGGCTGCTGAGCCTCCAACTGTGGATCATTTAACTGAAGAAACCACTCACGTGTCGAGCTGATACTTGAATCAGATATCAGTAATGGAAAAAGCAGATCAATATGGCCAATCTATTGAAATCTGTCCTCTGATTATTAGATTCATTACTCTGTGATGCAGCAAAGCAAAAAATAATCATTTGTGCATTTACAAAATTCAGCTTATTCATTCAAGACTGGTACGGGATTTGCATTCTGTACTGAAAACACCTGCAGTCAAGGTACTTGTACACTAGGAATGGATCAGTGCATCTTCACCTGAAAGTCTGAGGCACCCTACCTGACCGAAGTTTGTGCATTTCCCTATTTGATAAACAAAAAATGCCAGCTGCCGTTAAATCCCGAAGAAGAAGAAGCTGTGTCCCAGAATTCATAGCGCAGCCCAGCTCAGTTTCCAACAATGGCGGCAGCTAGTTAGTTTTAATATTACCCTTATTATTCTTTCTGGGTCACAAAATAAACGTTTAACATATTTTCAGGTGAGAATGTAGCTGTGTAAACCTCAAATATCTGCTCAGTTTATCAAGACACCACATATTTTCAAAAGCTAGCGCGATAGCTAGTCGGGGTTCAAGGCTCACTAGAGCCGTGAGAACAGCGGACTCCTGGTAAATCGTTTTCAAACCCACCGCCGTCTTTCGCTACTCAGATTAAACATGATATATAAGTCACTTAGATAACTTAAAAATGTTATTGTTTGGCTTTTTTTAGTATTTTATTTGTTCCTGAGTAAATCAGTTTGTCTGAGATTAAAGTTATAGTTTTTACACAGCTGAATAAACGTCAAGCAGACAGCTGATTATCAGATGTGCGAGATGCTTGAGAATATACTCCGGTGTCCTGTTATATTTTAGATAGCAAGGAGTTTATTAAGCGTCACAGAAACAATCTGCAAATTTCATTAAAATTTAATAAACTATCATCTCGTCTTTATTTTTAGTTAGCACAGACCTTAAACACTTAAAGCTGTAAGCTAATGATAGTTATATAAGAGCAGACGCATGCTGGTGCAATAAGCTGTACGTTCTACATCCAATGGATGATGATCTGATTAGTTGACTAATCGCAAAAATAATCGGTGACTAGTCGACTATCAAAATAATCGTTTGTGGCAGCCCTAGCCGTAAACAGCTTGTTTAGCGACACCACAAAACAAACAATAGCGTAACATGGAACCATAGATGTTTTCATATAGTTATATCGAACAGCCCTAAAGCCTGGTGATTTTTATTTTTGTGGAGGGCAGAAACCTCTTTGAGCAATAATCTGATCTAAATACTGAGTTCAACTGTAAACTCAGGAGCACAGGTATCAGTGCAGATATTGCCTGTGACTGTAATTAACAGGACATTTACTGATGTAAGTGGCTCATATTTACAGTATCTGATCAGTTGTGACCTGACATGGTGTTAAGATGAAAAGCTCTAAAATCAAAGTTATGGAAGATCTCTTTGTTTCTGTGATGTACAACCGGAATATAAATAACCACAGATATGTGCACAGGCTCCCAGCCACACTGATACCGAGCCAGGATTTCATAACCGGTGCATCACAAATTTTCATTCAGAGCAGAATGTCACTTTTCAACATTTTTCAACAGGCAAATAAAGCAAGAAAATGTAAAAAACATCACACTGTCAGACTTTAACAGAATTTACTTACCGATATAAAACACATATTTACAGAAAACATTCAAAGAAGCTTGTACTAACTTTTTGTGTCAGTTTTGCTTAAAAAGTTACTGAATCTTTGCTTGTTTTTAACAACACAAACGTGTAGTCCTGACACAACACCTGACAGACAGATCAACTCAATAACCATCCAGTCTTTTTGCATTAGCACCAGGTTAATGCTTAATTAATCAGCTGTTAAAAGTCTAAAATGTTTTCCAGTATTCAAGGAATAAAATGAAGTCCTTACCTTACCTTACGTATATGCAGGGGAAATAAATCCGTTTTAGCAGCTCATCTTGTGCAAATAAAGGCAGATAAAGTGCAGAAAGAGTGGAGCAGGGCAGAGCTGCAGCCTCTTATAGACCTGCTCAGACATGTCAGGACTAGACCAGTTTAAAGGCCTGGCCTAGTCTGACTGGGGCCTATCATGCCCTGACTCAGCTGTACTGTAGGACTGGAACAGCTGATTCAATCATAGAGCTTCTGTAGACAAGCCAGGGCTAGTCTGCATTGACTCATCCTATCAAAGTTACATAACCACACTAACCAGAGTGCTGGTTATCTCACTAACCAGGACTAGTCTTAGCCAGATAACCAGTGCCAAATCAGGGGCACAACACCTGCTTGATCTGAGCACAGGAAACCGGGAAGATCAGCGCAATACTTAATTCTCCAATTTATTATTTATTCCAACCAAAAGTGTTTTTTACATATACCTTTTCTTTCTGGTCTCAAGTCAAAAACACAAAATTAGACCTAAAAGACAATATATTGAAATAAGTCATAAATAAGAGTTCTTCTATTCTATTTCTATTTTTGTTTAATTTTCGGTTTTCAGTTCTTTTTTTCCTTGTTTATTTTTTATTATACATTCAAAAATATATTTTTTTAAATATTTTTCTGTGTTTCAGTGTTAGTTTCACACTTCTGTTTTTTAAAATGTTGTTTCTAAATGTAGCTTTTTGAAATGCACAGACTTCTGTTAAATAATGTAACATAGACAGGTTGGCTTAAAGGCCCATTCAGACTTTCTTTTAAATCAAACACTGTAAAATCTAGTTTTTATTTTGATTAACAAAAATGTGGTTTCAAACTTTTTAGTTTAAATCTGGTTAACTATGATGACTAAGACTGGACCTTGTTCTTTCGGTTACTGTAAAAAGACACTTATTGATTGGATTTTAAATTTTCCAACAACCCTGTGAGAGCCTGTGAGACTTTGCTGGAAACTGTAAAAATAAAAAAACAAAGCAAAAACAGACAGCCCTGTTTCCACAGAGGTGCAGGACTTTATTTTAAAGTGCACCCACACAGTTCAGAGGTGTAAACTACAAATGGCAGTGGCTCAGAGATGGAGAAGACCAACCTGACCACAGTACACCGACAGCAGCACTCAAAAGTCACGTTCAACAAAAAACAACCATAAGTTTATCTGTTGATTTACCAGCTCACCAGGGACATAAGTTTAAAGTTCACATTTTTCTAATAACGATTTCCTTTTTGTTTTTGCAGGAATAATCAGCAAACAAAAACAAAACATACATGACATAAAAATATTAGTATGGACCAAATTATGTGGTATTCCCAGGTTTAGGTTTGCTCTTTGCACCAAACTCATTTGACCAAAAAAAGAAGAAAAAAAAAAAGCATCTGACGGTTACTGCTAAATATCTGATCAAAATCTCCATTAATCTTGGGTAAATTAAACCTCCAACCGGGCTCAAAATTGAGCTTTAGGATTGGCTTAACGCTGTCTGCATACTTTCATTTTCAGATCGCTGGATAAACAAAAGTGTCTGATTCTGATTTAAAGCAGCAAACAGACCAGAAACTGCTGAGAATACGAGATATTCTCAGCCATCTTAAAGCAAATCAACATAATTTCATTAACAGCACAAAATCCATCAGATCAAAAATGAAAACAATTGTATTGTTTTTGGCTTTGGCTGTTCAGGTTTTTTCTTTTTTTCTAAGTTGAATAAATCCAGAGATAAATAAAGATGATTGTTTTATGCTTTTTTACTGAACTATGTAGCTTTTATTAACCCTCTTATTTCTTGTAATGATTTAACTTCTAAGGTGTTTTTGTTTTACTAACAGCATGTGGTCACCGTTTTCCTATTAAATTACTAATCTATTGATTTTGTTTCACATTGTCTACACATTGCTGTGGCTGTGACCTCTGTACCTCACAGTCTTCCACCTGGAATAAAACCACATTATGAAGAAAGCTTTGTTTGCCGTTTCAGACCCAGAAATTAAACTGCATGTAATAAAATTTAACACAAATTGTTAACACAACTATGATAATCTAATTAATGCAACAA